TTTATTTTAAGATTTTTATCTACATCCAGCTGTGCTCAGGGCTTACTCCTGGCTCTGTGCTCAGGGCTTACTCCTGGCTCTGTGCTCAGGGGTCACTCCTGACAGTGGTTGGGGGATGATTATATGGTGCCAGGGATCAAATCTTGTTAGCCTTGTGTAAGACAGGCACCTTAACTCTTGTACTATCTCTCAACCTTCCAAATTTTATTTTTAAGACCAGGGCTAAGTGTATCCTAGCCCAAAGGCTCATTCCAGCCTAGTCCTACTTTTGAAAATAGACTCTATGAATTGATTTTAAAAAACAAGACTTATTCTTTTAAGCCCATGTTCTCCCTGAACTTTTTCTACTCTGGAAAAGTCCATGTTCTCTCTAAATTTCCCCAATATCTTTTTTTTGCTCTTTGGATCACACCTGGTGATGCACAGGGGTTACTCCTGGGTCATGCACTCAGGAATTACTCCTGGCGGTGCTTGGGGGACCATATGGGATGCTGGGAATTGAACCCGGGTTGGCCGTGTGCAAGGCAAATGCCCTACCTGCTGTGCTATCACTCCAGCCCTCATCCTCAACATATTTCTAAGTAAATTTTGTTCAATAAAAACTATTTTGCTTCAAAAAACAATTTGGGGCCACGCCCTGCAGTGTTAATGGTGGGAGTTGAACTGACTGTACCCGGTGTTGTTGGTTGGGAGGGCAAGAGTGGGCATGAAGTGCGAGGAACACACTCAGAACTCTACATGCTAGGCATGTGCACTGCCTCTCAAGCTTTCTTTCCCACCCAATAAATAAAGTTCTATTGAAACATAACCAGGTTTATATGTTTGTGTATTGCCGCTGGCTCTCTTTGCCCTGCAGTGGTGCATACTTGAATAGTGGCTTTCAGAGTTTAAAATACTTACTGTCCTACTCTTCACTGAAAAAGTGTGCAGAGTCCTGTTGTCAACTAAAGAAAGGACTCAGGGTCAGTGCTCGTGTGGTTCGATGAGGCATACGTTGCTGCTCTTTCTCTCAGTCAATTTTAAATACTCCAGTTTAGTCCACTGTTCTTTTTTTTTTCTTTTTGGGTCACACCCGGTGATGCTCAGGGGTTACTCCTGGCTTTGCACTCAGGAGTTACTCCTGGAGGTGCTCAGGGGACCATATGGGATGCTGGGAATCGAACCCGGGTTGGCCGCGTGCATGGCAAATGCCCTACCCACTGTGCTATTGCTCCAACCCCTAGTCCACTGTTCTTGATGCTCTGTTTTGTAGAAAATATTTTGACAAATCAAGTAACTTATGGGAAATTGGTGTGGTACAATTTCTGACTAGACAATATGCTGGAAATGACAGAACTCATTTCTGCTTTTCAAATTACTTGAGCAGGAAATAAGTTATTTCTTGATTTGCATTTCATTACTTATACACACCCTGGGAAGCTCTCATCTAGTTCAAAGCACACTGTCAACACTGTTACAAGATGATTTCTTGCTTTATTGGAACCAATTTTAAGCAACAGTGAGAAGTAGCATTTCCTTCTGTTTTTACTTCAGTTTTCGATGATGGTTGGATTCTTCTACTGTTTGTCATTTATATTCTTTCCAAATGTAGGGCAGAGAGTTACAGTTACTCTGTGGGTCGTTTGGCAGATGGTTGTGCTTCTTCAGGTTAGTTTGGTTGTGCTCATGAAAAGGTTATTTTAGTGCCTTGTAGGATACACTGTGATAACTAAGATTAACCTGATGTATGTATACGACAAGAATTGATTTGTTCATTCATTAGTACATACATTTGCTCAAGAAACTTTAAGATCCTGCTGAATTAGGTTCTGTTCCCAAGGATTTTATAGATTCTTGTAGGAGGTGGACACAAAGTGATAATTATAGTATACTGTGTTATGTTATATGTAGAAAATTATGGGAGACATAGGGCTCTAATACAACCTGGGAAAAGATGATCAAGAAATGGCTCCTGGAGGAGTGTAAAGCCAGACAGTTGAGACTAGGATGTTCTATAAGACATTAAAGTGGAAGGCTGGATTTGAGTCTGAATGGCCAGGTTTAGGTATGGGCTAAAGTGAGAAGGATTTAGGAGTCTGAATGTGGAGATGATTCAAGAATTGATCAGCTCACTTAAGAGTGGAGAATGGGTCCCAGGGGATGGCTCCAGTGGCAGAACACTTGTGTGGCATGTGTGAGGCACTGAGTTTGATCTTTGGCACTGCATAGCTCCCTGTGTACTAATGTGGTAGCTACTATAAAAGCAAGCAAGCAAACACCCCCAACCCCCCCACCCAAAGTCTGGAGAGTGGGAAGAGCTCTGGACTTAGGATGGTAAGAATCAACACTTCAGGATCAGAAAGAGATCCGGGAGGGGACAAGAACAGAGTTATAAAGAAAACGAAGAACAGATGACTTGAAAATGTTTACAGATTAAATGAAGAGGAAGAAGACAGTAAAAGGAGAGGTGGGAAATCCAGGGATCACTTGGCATGATCGGCAAATGTAGTAGGCAGGAAGAGAGAATTCATTTCAAATGTAATTGAATGTTGCCACTTATCATTTTTCTTTTTCTTTTTGGGTCACACTCAGCAATGCTCAGGTGTTACTCCTGGCTCTGCACTCAGGAATCACTCCTGGCGGTGCTTGGGGGACCATATGGGATACGGGGGGTATTGAACGCGGGTTGGCCACGTGGAAGGCAAACACCCTACCCACTGTATTATTGCGCTGACCCTTGAGTGTTGCTACTTACCTTTTAAACCCATCTGAGATTTGGTCTCAAGGGCATTATTTAGAGCAGTGTTTTTTGACTGTGGCTTCCTTCTGACCATGGTTCCTTTCTGTTGTTCCTTTGTCCTACTGGTTGGTCCCCTAGTTTTATGATGTGACTCACAGTATTTTCATATCCTGGTGGTCTTGAATATCCTGGGGGCATATAGGGAGACATTTGGCTCCCACTTGAGAAGTGCTGATTTAGAGTAGTAAAGCAAATTCGATTTTCTACATCTGCACTGAAGGGAAAAAAAATACATTATGAACCTCTCTTTCTAAAAAGTTGTCATGAGATAATGCATATGCCTAAATATTTTTGATTGGAAATTAGAAAAAATTTAAGTCATGAAATTTGCTGATAAATGAATGGACATGGAGAATATTATGCTTAGTGAAATGAGAAGGACATAATGACTGCATTCATTTGTGGGATAGAAGAAAATAATATATATTATGAGACTAATACCCAATGACCGTAGAAACAAGGGCCAGAACGAATGGTCCATTATTGGAAGCTTGCCTCAAGGGCTGGGTGAGAGGGCAGAGAGGGCAGTTGGAATAGAGAAGGGACCTTTTTGACAATGATTGTTGGAAGGGATCGTTCTGGATGGGAGATGTGTGCTGAAAGTGGGAAAATGACCATACATGGTGGCCTCAGTATCTGTATTGCAAATCATAATATCCAAAAGGAGAGAGAGCAAGTGAGAGAGCATGAAGGGGGGAGAGAGAGAGAAAAAAAGAGAATGAAAGTGAGAGAGAGAGACAGAGAGACAGAGAGAGAAAGGGAGAGAGATTCTTGACAATTTTAACTGACACAATACACAATTACTTTGGGATCAATTATTTTTATTAAAATAAAAAATTTGGGGGCTGAAGTGATAGCACAGCAGCTAGGGTGTTTGCCTTGCATGTGGCCAACCCGGGTTCCATTCCCAGCATCCCACATGGTCCCCTGAGCACCACTAGGAACGATTCCTGAGTGCATGAGCCAGGAGTAACCTCTGTGCATTGCTGGGTGTGACCCAAAAAGAAAAAAAAATAATAAAATAAAAAATTTTGTTGTAGTTTAGGTAACATGTTTATAATAGTGCTAAAGTTTGTGATAATGATGTAAAAAGCTTGTTATCTAATTGAAATGACAATATTGAAGTAAATTTTTGCACAATTGTTTTGTTTGCTTATAAATATTTACATTTGTTTTACACTTTGAAATCAACTATATACTTTCTTTAGGATTGAAAAAATCGGTACTAGAGTGAAAGTACAGGGTTAAGATGTTTGCCTTGCATGTGGCAATCCCTGGTTTGATACCTAGCACTATGGGTATGGCCCCAAAGTAAAAGTAAAACAAAATACCCCCTTCCCAATGTGTTGGACTGCTGTTTTAGATTAGGCTTTCGTAAAAGCTTATATTTAATAGCAGCTTCTGTGTATTTGCTTTTGAAACACATAGAGAATAGAGAATCAGATTTAGAATATACATTGTATTTATAGAATTTCGGCTATTTTGAGAAGGTTGCATTTAATATGTTACCAAATGTGTTAATAGGTCAGATTTTTGTTGATCTTTTTCAAGATCAAATTTCAAGAAATAATTATTTCAAGAAATAATTAAGATTCTGTTGAAAGCATTGAGACTTAGGAAAGTGAAGTGTCTTAAAATAAATTTAAGGTAATTTCTTATTTATATGTATTATCTTTGCATGATAAATTCTTAAGTAAGTTTATAGTTCTTTTCACAAATGATGGAAAACAGATCAAAAGGTTTTATTGAGGGTCTCTTAAGTAGTTCTCAGAGAGCCTGAGGACTTCTAGGCTATAACCGCCAGTATTGGATTTGGGTGGTGGTACTTGGGTATTTGCTACTGACTTTTTGTTTTGTTTTGGGGCAGTGCTCAGGACTTATTCCTGGCTCTGTGCTCTGGAATTACTTTTGGTAGGCTCAGGGTCCCATATGGGGTGTCAGGGGGTTGGACCTGGGTCAGCCAAAGGCGAATGCCCTACCCGCTGTACTGTCTCTTTGGCCTTTGTGGTGCAGACCACCAAACTGTCTCCCTGACTTCCTAGAAGTTTGTGTAAATTGTGTAAGTGGCAGTGAATTTATTGAGACAAGGGAAATGATTTGGTCATTATTGTAATTGTGATGAAGCCTGTTTTAAATCTTTTAAGAATATAGACATATAAGGAAGCAATATAATTTAATAAGAACTCATATATTTAATTATTTTTTTTTCTTCTCTCAATAGGACCAGACATATTATCAGGCATTTCAGGTTTCAGAATATGGTAAGAGATCTTCAATTTATCTGAAAAAAAAAATAGTTTTCTTACTTTATACAAAGACAGATTTTCGAGCGCTGCATTAAAGTAAAAATCCCAATGGAGATAAAGTGTTGACGTTTCTAAGAAGCTGAAACATTTATTCCTCTATAAAAGTGAAAGTCGTGAAAGCCTATCCTAAGGAATAAAGTAGGAATAAGACTCTATATAGTTCTATTTTGTTTCCACTCTGCTTATAGTGTTTTGGTTTTTAGCTTCATTGTGATCAAAAGATTTTTGTCTATTTTGGGAGAAAACTTAAGTTATTCCCCACAATTTTTTGGCTAGTACTGATAATGGCAGCTTATTTGATTCAGATAAATCCTCTTCTTGTAGGTGCTACCTACATAATATCATAGAAACACTGGCTAAACACTGCGACCCAATTATTCTTTTGGTGGATGGGGAGGAAGGAAAGATGAGAGTGAAAGATAAATCACTTAGAATTTGAATAGCTATTAAGAGGTTATAAGTGATTCAGTTTTTTCTGTTTAATTTTATTTTTATAAAGTTGTTTACAATAATTTATTGCATTTAATATTCAAATACCGATCCCACCACGCTGCACCTTCCCACCACCCTAAGAGGAAAGTGTATGAAAATTAAAGGTAAAAGGTAAAGGCCCTCCCGTTGTTCGTCGATTTGCTCGAGCGGGCCCAGTAACGTCTCCATTGGAGACTTTGTTGTTACTGTGTCTGGCATATCGAATACTCTCGGTAGCTTGCCGGGCTCTCCGAGAGGGGCGGAGGAATCGAACTCGGGTCGGCTATGTTGGCTGCGTGCAAGGCAAACGCCCTACCGCTGTGCTATTGCTCTCTTTTTTTTGAAAGGCAGATTTCTTTTTAATATTACATCTTTTCTGTTATTTTTTTCCACAATATTTGATTACATTTAGTATTCAAACACCAATCTCACCCCCATTACAACTTCCCACCACCATATTTCAGATGTTTCCATCCCGAACCCTAACCCCTGCCCCAAAGCAGAATCAAAATACTATATTTTGTATTCTTTGTTATGAAAAACCGCTGAAAATGCTACAAAAAAGTATCATTAGAGAAAAGAGTGTGCAGATTGTTGTATTTCACCCACGGGCCATTAAGCCCTTCTGTAAGAGATCACTAACATGTTGTTAAATGTTGAACCTTGTGTGCTTTTATATATATATATATATATATATATATTTGTAAAAATATTTTTCTCTAAGATTGGTTATCCCCTATTTTGAACCCCATCAAAGATGGTGCGGTACTCTTGGAGTATGGGTAGGGTGTGTGGTATGAAGTGTTGCAGAAGCACAGTCTAGGTATAAGAATAGGTTCACTCATGGGTGAGGCTCAGCCCCAGTTTGTGGAGAGTGGCTGTGAGTGTGGTGGTGGTTGAGTTCTGGAGGTTTTTGGCTGCCAGGGTTGGGTCCCTTGGGGCGGGGAGGGGTCTCACCCACCCCCTCCAGAGTACCCCAAGTGAAACAGACTAGATTATTGCATTTCATCCTGGGGCCATGACGCCCCTGTGTAAGAGTTTACAAGCATGTATGTTAAACCCAAACAAATGTGTGCTACTTTTGGTATATCAGTGGACTAGAGTATTCACATCCATGTGTTCCAGGAATTCTGAAATTTAGGATATGATTATAGAGCAGACTCACTCATGGGTAAGGCTTATGTTGCCTTCTTCTTGGCCGTTGATGAGATTATATGGCACTGGGGGAAGTTTGTGGGTGTGACTGCCAAGCTACTGAAAAACTTGGGAACTGGGGGGGAGGAGGCCCAGTCCCGCTCTGAGTGAGCATGGAGTTTTCAATCACAGGTCCAGCATACCTGTTTTTTTTTTTTCTGCAGCTTCTTTCATGGGTGAGGCTTGTCCATGCCTGTGGAGAGAGGCCTTGAGCATGGGTTGAGTCAGGGGTTAAACCTAGGGCAAAGCATATGCTCTGGCCCTTTGAGCTATTTCCCTGCCCCAGCAATAGAAATGCTGGAAGAGAATTTGCTTACAGATTTCTGTCTCAGACTCCACACTTCTTGTGCAGCTGGTCCATTAGAACAGGGATCGGCCAAATTTTTCCAATTAAAGGCCAGATATTCATATTTCAGACTCTGTGGGCCATATGTCTCTGTCAGAGCTATTGACAGAGGAACTTTGCCATTGTAGCAGGATGCAGTTACAGACAGATGTAACTGAATGTGGCTGTGATCTGCCAAAATGTTATTTTTGGACATGGGAATTTAAATTTCATTTTTTCCCCCTAACCAACAAAAAAATGTCCAAACCATGCTTAGCTCCTGCTGGCCCTCATTTACTCGATCTGGAACGCAATGTCTAGTATGAGGGTCACTTACCATATGTGACCAGTGAGTGCCTGAAATGTGGTTAGTTCAAGTGGAGATATCTTCTAGGTGTTAAACACCTGCAAGATGTAGTATGAAACAGGAAGGAGAGCTCTGGAGCAAAACTCAGCACTCACTTGGGCATGAGCTTTGCCAACACTGGTATTCCATGACCCATCCCCACAGCAGGTGTGGTCCTGGCATTCTGTGAGGACCACTAGGGTGGTCATTGTCATCGAAGTGCCTGAGCAGCTTCTGGGCCTTGGATTGAGCATGTGGTTGGTTGAGTATTGCCAGAAGACCAAAAAGAAATGGCTTATTATTAATTTTTATACTGATTACAGGGTAAAATGATATTTTGGATGTATGGGGTTAAACATTTCAAAAGTTAATTTTATTAGCTTCTTTTTACTTAAAACATTTGAAATTATTTACATAGTTGACATTTCGTTTCTTTTGGAGAACCCCAGTGTTGAAGAATTTGAAGAATAGATGAGATGGGACTAAGGTTTCTGTAGGTTCTTTGGTTGCATGCAGGGGTGGTGTTGGATGATTGTGTACTGTTGAGTGGGATACAGCGAAGGTGGAATGGAATGCCCATTTGGATGTTTGAAGAGGAAACATTTGGGTTTCCTCTAGAGAAACACAACCCCCAAGGGCCCTCACTGAGCTCATGGACATCTTGGAGAAGGGTGAGAGTTGACCCGTGGGCATTTTGTTCTCACCTTCCAGACTGGATTAGAGTCCAGTAGTGTTTTGACCTACCAAGAACCTTTACCCTGATTTGGAGCAAGAGCTTTAACTTATATAGGTGCCCTGCTTGATTCTTCTCTTATTAATTGAATGGTGAGATGCCGTATTAGGAGGCTAAACTTTATCTTTGATTAGTGAGGTTGTAGAAAACAACTACTTCTACAGAGTGGAAGGAAACAACATTTACATTTCGGTGGAGAGTTTTATATCAATGGTACTCATATATATTCATTTTAGATATTATATGTTAATATCTAAAACTGGCCAAAAAGGGCTTTCTAACTTTGAAATTGCCTTTACGATCCAGTACCTGCCACAAGAGGAAAAGCATCATTACTCTGTCACCATATTTTAGTTAACTAGAAATCTTACCACACAAGTTTTTCTTCTGAGCAGATTGTAACAATAGACTGTTTGCAGATTTGCCTTTGATTATCTCAAAGGACATTGTGTATGGAGTCACACATGAGTGGAGAGGCCCCCAGGATGTGAATTTTATAATGAATTTGAGAAAACTTCTAGGGGAGGGCCTGTTCTAGAAACAGCCACACACCTGGAAATAGCACTGTCTGTCCTCCCATTGTTCATCGATTTGTTTGAGTGGGCACCAGTAACGTCTCCCTTGTGAGACTTGTTGTTACTGTTTTTGGTATATCGAATATGCCACGGGGAGCTTGCCAGGCTCTGCTGTGCCGGTGGGATACTCTCAGTAGCTTGCTGGGCTCTCCGAGAGGAGCGGAGGAATCGAACCTGGGTCATCCGTGTGCAAGGCAAACGTTCTACCTGCTGTGCTATAGCTCCAGTCCTTTTCATGATAAATGGGAATAAACTTTTGAATACTAAGAAACTGGTGGGGGCCAGGAATATAACTCCGTGGTAGAGCACAATGCCAAGTATGTGCAAGGATGAGTTGCATGGCCCTGGTGACCTGAGCTCCACATCAAACTGACTGAACTGTCAGGATTGCACCACAGGGCCAGGTATGGCTGGGTGCTGCCTCTATGAAAATAGCTTGCAACATTGCAACTCAGTGTGTGTGAACACTACCACCAATACCACTCTAGACACCCAAGTAAAGGAAAGGGAATGGGAGAAGTACAAAAGAAAAAACAAGATTTAAGGAACTTGAAGTCAACTTGTTTGCTCTGAACAAAAGAGCATCTGGTGCTTTAAGGTATATGGAAGCACTTTCTTCTTGGACTGGGGGAGAATTTAGGAATACATGTCTTGTGTGTATCAAAGCCCCATAATCCCAGGCATCATATGGCCTCTAAATAGTACCACATCCGCAGATTCCAATACTCACTGTACAGCTCAGTTGGCACAAGAAAGGCTCCCAGACTACCCCCAACCCACCCCCATCAAAAAAAAGTTGCTTTCAACCACAACACCCAATAAGAGAGAGAGAACAAAAGGGAATGCCCTGCCACAGAGGCAGGGTGGGATGGGGGGGATGGGGAGTGGGAGGGATACTGGGATCCGTGGTGGTGGGAAATGGGCACTGGTGGAGGGATGGGTATTTGATCATTGTATAATTGAAACCCAAGCACAAAAATTTGTAAGTCTACAACTGTACCTCATGATGTCTCACTAATAAAAACAAACAAACAAACAAAACTAATCAGAATGAGAAAAAAAGTTGCTTTCTTCTTAAAGTTTATGAATCTGAATGTGTTGTGAAAGCATTTCAAGGGCCAGAGAGTTGATAACTGAGGTTAAGGCACTTGTCTTGCATGTGGCTGACTGGGTTTGATCCCCCAGCACCACATATGGACCCCTGAGCACCACCAGGAAGGATCCCTGAGCACCACCAGGATTAAGCCCACACAACACTGGGCGTTATTCTCCAAACCAAAACCAAAAAGGCATTCCAAACTCAAAGCAGAGTATACTCTTGTGTCTTTCCTAATTGGTGAACCCAACAATTCTGAGAGTAAGGTCACAATTTAAAGAAAGCAGCAATTCCTAGCACCAGGGCCAAGAATAAAGAGGCTCAGTCTAGGCCTGTCTATTCTAAACCAAAACCTCAAATCTAAACTCTATACTTCATTTGGTAAAGAAACAAGTTTTGGGATGGGGAATCTCATACATTTAAGTCAAAACACTAATTTTTTAATAGAGACGGCAGTTATCCAGTCCATAAAGAAATGTAGTAATGCTATAACTGTAGACTTAGTGAAAAGCTGTAATATTTTCCTAATATCAGACTCCCAATAAGATAACTAATTTTTAATGCTGATTTATAGTTATCCTTTGTATTATCAGCAAGTCTGTAAAAGCAGATTTCTACAGAGAACCTTAACCAGTCAGCCTCTCTTATCATCTCCACATGGGGTGATTGTAGGATAACAATGGGTTTGTCCTTTCAGCCTTACCGCAGGGAAATTAGTTTACTTAAAGCAATGTCCTTTCTGTATGGGCACAGGAAGACAGTTAATATTATGCTTTGTAACTTGGGAGTTGATGGACTCCAATAATATTTACTCCTGGGCATCTGCTCTTGACTCAGTTGCCCTTAGTTCTTAGTACCCCAAAAGCAGGGTCCCGGCAAGGGACTGAATGGACCCAGGGCAAACTGTGAGCTACCCTGGCATCAAAATGGGCCAGGCCAAAGCGCCACAATACTCAATTATAAGTTGAGGACATGATCATGGACAAATGCTGTCATGATCCAAAAGTAACGACACCTGGTAATATGGAAATCTTTCAGCATGCACCAAATCCACACTGATGGAGGACAGTGGAATACAAATCTGGTCTTCTAGCACTAAGTTTCCTTGCATGAGTAATTTGGATCCCGCTTCTGCGAGACAAGTGTCCCTTAAAATGATCCCAGTGTGGCTGTCCCAGTGTTCCAGCCTCATAGTGGTTTTCAGTTTGGGAGAAAGGAAGTGCTTTTCATATGTGTGTTAATGTATATTTGAATCCTAATCAATGTAAGTTTGTAACATCAAATATAAACTCCTTTAGTCTCTTCTTCAAATTGCTAAACTGAATATGATAGCAAAATAGATTCTTTAAAATATTTACCTTTCTCCCCCAGTATTGCCAACATTTGAAGTGACTTTGAAGACTCCATTATACTTTTCTATGAATTCTAAGGATTTACATGGTACTGTCACAGCAAAGTAAGTATCATTTTTCTCTTCCTTCCTTCCTTCCTTCCTTCCTTCCTTCCTTCCTTCCTTCTTTCTTTCTTTTTTTTCTTTTGAGGCCGGGAGGAGCACCCAACAGTGCTCAGGGGCTGCTCTCACCCCTGTGTTTGGGGTCACTCCTGGAGACCACGTGTGCTGGGATTTGAACCTGGGCAGCCTGCCTGTGAATTATGCAATCCAGCCCTTTGAGTCAGCTCTCAGACCCTCATTTTTCTTTAAATGACTATGAACTGCTATGAACCGGTATTACAGGCAGCTCATTATATGCTCTAAGATATTAGTTCAATATTATGCTCGTTAAACTACCACAGTGAAGGAAATCAAGTATCTGTCACAAATAAGTGTGGAGCATGTTTGCATAGGGCTTTACTTCTCAAAGGAATCATTCCGACATTATTTCTAATAGGCCAGTGTTTTTCCAGAATGAATCAAGGGGCTTATATTACAGACTGTGTCAGATTAACAAAATAGTTACAGCTTTGCTTATTCCCCATGCAACTGACCTGATTCAAGACAGTTTACTTTTTCTTAAATCTTACTCTCCACTCCCCCCCCCCCCCCACCTTCCTGATCCCCCTCCTCAATAATGGGGATTGAACCATAGGGAAGGATTCAGTTGCTTTATTGCAATTTTGAATGCTCATAAGTCACATCCATCCATTTCAGTCTATGTGCAGGGAGACTTCCATCCGGCCTTATTGACCTAAAAGTCATAATTACTAGGTTTTTGAGATTTTGACCCATTGCCTTGAGCAGCACAGTATTTTCTTAAAAAAATTGGATCACTGTGAGATACAGATATAAAGCTTTCATGATTGAGTTTCAGTCATAAAATGATCGAACACCCATTCGCTACCAGTGTACATTTTCCACCACCAATGTTCCCAGAATCCCTTGTACCCCCTGCCTCTATGGCAAGCACTTTCCTTTTATCTCTCTCTCTACTTTTGGGAATTATGGTGGAATAGCACAGTATTTTGATTTGTTGATGCAGAGACCAGCAGCTCTCAAAAGTAGAAGGGAATTCCCTGCCACAGAGGCAGGGTGGGGTGGGGGGTGGGGGGTGGGAGGGATACTGGGATCCGTGGTGGTGGAAAATGGGCACTGGAGGAGGGATGGGTGTTTGATCCTTGTATAACTGAAACCCAAGCACAAAAATTTGTAAATCTACAACTGTACCTCATGGTGTTTCACTAGTAAAAATTAAAAAAAAAAAAAGAAAAAGAAAAAATAAAAGTAGAGGCCAAGGTTGCTTCCAAGAAATTTAAGAGCCAGGGGACAGAGTGCAGCAGGCACTGTATCTAAAATTAAAAATTCAACTTTGTAAATCAATTTAATTGATAATTAAAATTAATCAAACAATTAGTTTAATAGCATGAAAGGAAGTATTTTAAATTTAACACTTCCCTATTATTATTATTCATTGGATAATTAAAATAAAGTGACTTTAAATTTTCACCTGCTTTAAATATGGTCCACCTCAGCTTTATTCCCGAGCCCTGCCAGGAGTGACTTTTGAGCACAGAGTCAGGGGTAAGTCCTGAGCAGTATGGGGTATGGTCACAAAACAAAACAAATTCAAGGCAAGACTTTTTGTAGGTTGTCTCACAATGGAGACGTTACTGGGCCCGCTCGAGCAAATTGATGAACAACGGGAGGACAGTGCTACAGTACTACAGTAGTTTAGATGTGTCCGTGTTCACTCTTTGGCTTCTGAAATCAAATTGTTTTATAATTCTATTTGTAATAAGTGATAAAAGCTGGACCTCACTTCCCGGCTTTGTCATCATGAGATTCCTCCGCCAGTGAGGCCTGTGGCAATGGCAGAAGCCAGGCAGTGAGTGTCCTGGCAGAAGCTGTCCCCAGACCAAGCTGGCCTGGGGCCTCCTAGATTTTCTGTAATTACTATCCTGCCCTTCTTCCAAGCCAGAGACACACTCTGTCTGGGATTTATTTATTTATTTATTTTTGGTTTTTTTTTTTGGTCACACCCGGTGATGCAAAGGGGTTACTCCTGGCTCTGCACTCAGGAGTTACTCCTGGCGGTGCTCAGGGGACCATATGGGATGCTGGGAATCGAACCCGGGTCGACCGCGTGCAAGCCCTACCCGCTGTGATATCTCTCCAGCCCCTCTGTCTGGGATTTAAAAAGAAAAATTAAGGTTTCCTTCCCTTTGCACTATTGCAGTGACTCAGAGCAGTATCCTTGTTATTTGGCTTGCTGGGTTCACTCATCTCATTATGATTTTTCTCTCGGGTTGCTGGTGGACTTGGACCAGTGATGTAAGGCTGCTCACGCCCAGCAAGGCTGGGAAAAGGCCACCAGAGCCACAGTAGTGATGCTCGTGGGAGGACAGTCATGCAGGGTTGAGGATTGAACTTGGGGCCTTGTGTGTGCAAGACATTTGCTCCAGCTCTGTGCGCTGTCCTGCTGGCTCTGGTATGTCTGTTTTGGATAGTCTCTCTGTGATTTAAAGTCCTCGGATCTGGCAGTTCAGGTAGCGGTCCAGTCTGAGTTCTTCCCATCAAATCTCTTTCTTTTCCGGATGATGCTTGAGATGGTCCAAGGGGAGGTCCTCCCCAGGGTGTGAAAATCTTCATGACTCACCGGGCCACGGCTTAGGCCCCTTCCTCCAGAGGCTACGAATGTTCTCCCTTTAGCCTGGCTGTCCTGTGCTCTGCGGCTGCCAGCATGTTCCAGTCCCCTCTGCTTTTACTCTGACTGAGAATACACTGTACAGCTTTGCAACTAAGTGAGGCATTCTTTGGACCAGCAAGATCTTTTTTTTTTTTTTTGATATTTTAAAACTTTAAAAAATTTTATAAAGTAGTTCACAATATTTGATTACTACGTAATATTGAAACACCAATCCCACCACCTTTACACCTTCCCACCACCATATTTCGAATGTTTCCATCCCGAACCCCACCCCTGCCCCAAAAGCAGAACCAAAATAATATATTTTGTATTGTCCAGCAAGATCTTTAACCAGTTCTTAAAAATTGTCATGACACTGCTCTGTAAATACCCAGAAAAGATGGACGCGATGCTCTGCTGATAATGGTGATTCTGTGTCTGTTATGATGAACGTTAGGTCTCTTTTCAGAGATTAATCTCTCTCCTGTCAGGAGAATCCCTACGCCATTTCCTCTCTCACCTGTATCTCAGCTTCCTCCCTTTGCTATCTTTGACCTTAGGTTCTTTAGTGACATCTTTCAGTGTTTGAACATTCCTGTCACTAAAGAGCAAAACCTCCTGACTTCTCAACTCCTTCCAAGTGCTTCTCTATCTATTTCCAGCTACTTCGATTGCTCTATCTCTTCTAACCTCTTCCTGGTCAAGCTAGGATTGCAGTTTCCACATTCCATTCATTCTTCATCCCCTTGGAATTTCATCTTCGTGCTATCCTCAGCAGGTCATTGAAACAGCTTCCTCCGGGGAAGACCCTTCTTCCCTGTTAATCTTGAGAATATTTCTTTTAGATTTTTTCCTGCATCTGTATATATGTATAAAGTTTTATTATGGCCTTTTGATCTTCTCTGTAAAAATCATTTGTGATGCTTATTTGATACAAACAGTTTAATTATAAGAAAGATCAGCGCTCAGACACATTTTTTTTAGTTACTATTTTACATGTCACTGAACTGGAATGACCCATGGTGCAACCTTTCAGCCCTTCTCCACTTAAAGCCATCATTGATGTATGTTTTCAGCACTCCGTCATTGACCAATTCTGCTGCACTCAGCCTCTTGTCAATATAAAAAGTCCCCCTTGGGTCTGTGCCCCCTTGGGTCTCTTTCTGAATATTTCTTGTTCAGTTTTGCTCACAGTTCACCAGTGGTCTCATCTACTATTTGTTGAGTTATTTACTTGGAACAATACAATTCAATTACTATTCTCTCCCTCTCTTTCATTGAATCTGTAGCTTAGGACAAGTTTAAACCTAGACCCACAGCCTAAGAGTCAGCTTTCCAGAGTCTAAGTTTCTGTTTAATTTTTTGGGGGGGCCACATCTGGTTGTGCTCAGGGTGCATTCTTGGCTCTGTGCTCAGGGATCACTTCTGGTGCTTCTCATGTGTGGTACTGGAGATGAAATCCAGGGCAAACATCCTACCTACTTTACTATTTCTCTGGCCCTTCTACAATTAATTTTTTTGTTCTTTGCTGCATTGAACATTTGTTTGTTCTTTCCCATTTCTTTTCTGATTTTCCTCAGTTCCTTTTACTTAGTCCTTTGAGGCTCTTTGAAGTCAATTTTCTCCTGTCCATCCTTTAAGAGTTTATGTTTCATGATGGAGGGTCATGGATATTTTGATGGTGATAAATATAGTGTATGGTAACTACAACAGTGTGATAAACATTAACCCAATTGAAACCATATTACCTAAACTATAAAATTTAGAACAAAAGTTTATATTTGACCTTAGGAACAGTTAAGGGGCCTAGAGCACCTGCCTTGCAAGCATCTGGTCACGAGTTCAAATCCCTGGTGTCCAGCTGTTCAATGTGAAGTCCTTCAATGGTTCTGTTTGATCCTAGAAGCCATGCTGTCTGTAATTGGTGGTACCGTGAGCCATTTTTGCTGTACCACAGCCGGGCATGTGTAAGCAGCCCATGAGGGAGGGATGCCACCCCTGGTGAGCACCACCTCTAGAAAGCTGTGCCATGATTGGGAAGTACAACACTTGGTAAGGATACATGTAAGAACTGTAGTAATCCTGGTGAGCACCACACCATACACATGACTCATGTACTCCAAACTAGAGGGTGATTGGCAGTGAGCCCTGTTCTAGCATCACAACTAAAGGAATATAAATGTTGTGGGTACCATGGCCACGTGTGCAAGCACTGCAACCTGGTGGAATCCCTGATGAGCACCTCAGCCAGATGTATGTGCAGTTCCTGCTTCATCACGATGACATTAACACCAGCGAAGGGAAGGTGGGAAGGAGTAAAGAAAGTGAGAAGTGA